GCCATTACATGAAAGTCCACCACGATCAATGTTCATAGTTCAGGTACGTACTTGCTATAAATTTAGACCGGTTTCAAATAAATGATTATATCTTTTTGGAAAAAAAATGAAAAATTTCTCTTTCCTACAAACATGATCATCAGATCATAATATAATTTGATTAATTATTTATTAATTAATTAATAATATTATGATCAGTTGGTTGGGACGCTGATAGCTGGATTAGTGAACATAGCGGTGGCATGGTATCTGCTAACGAATATAGAAAACATATGCCAAGATGAGTTACTCCCACCAAACAGTCAATGGACATGCCCAAACGACCGTGTATTCTACGATGCATCTGTTATATGGGGACTAGTGGGGCCCAAGAGATTCTTCGGAACACTGGGTAACTACAACGCACTCAACTGGTTCTTCTTGGGTGGCGCTGTGGGCCCCTTTTTTGTGTGGATTCTTCACAAGGCTCTTCCGAGTCAGAAATGGATAAAGTCGGTTAACCTTCCGATTCTACTTGGAGCAACCGCTGCTATGCCACCTGCAACTACGTTAAACTTTAACAGCTGGATGTTGGTCGGGACTATTTTCAACTTATTTGTTTTTAGGTACCGAAAGGCGTGGTGGCAGAGGTACAATTACGTACTCTCGGCGGCATTGGATGCTGGATTGGCTTTTATGGGGGTGGCCTTGTATTTCACCCTTGGTATTGAGGAGGTGACACTTACGTGGTGGGGTTCTAAGGGAGAGCATTGCGATTTGGCCACGTGTCCCACTGCCAGAGGAGTTATCGTTGATGGTTGTCCTGTACACTGACTCGTCATCATCACTTGGGTTTTCTTTCCTTCTTGTATATCTTTATTTTTTGGGGTCATTCCTCCATCAAATACTTGTTAGGTAAAGGGATAGGGGCTCATGGGGTGAGGAATTTCGCCTTTTTTGGTACAAGAAATGGTGATATATCCATCCCTTAAATCTTTCTTTGTGATAATTCCCTAGAAATTTTATTCCCAATTCTGCCCTTATGTCAATTAGCATAATTTCTCCCAATTATTCTTTTTTTTTTCTCTCTTTCCATAACAATAATTTAAATACTAAAAATCTGCTTCCAAATTCTTAAAAATTTGCTACCAAATCAAAAAAACAAAATAATTTTTTTTTTTATTATTTTCGGACATTATTTAACCCTTTTTTTTTAATTTTTTGATAAAAATATATTCTTTTAATTTTTTTAAACAAAAAAATGATTTTTTTTTCTTGACAGGTTACAACGCCGAATATGGCTATACATAACTATATCGGCTGTAGTCATATTCTTTCTTTATATTGTAGTCTTTTACATTTTCAACTTAAAAATTCCGATTATATATATAGTGTGGTACAGTCATGTTTACCAAATTATATAAAACAACGAAGATTTCCTATTAAATTCGAAAACAATCCAATCAAAATCCACACAAAAAATCACAATTTGAATCTTGTTATTACAAGTCAACTTGAAACGAGAAGATATAGCATATTCGAATATGACTACAATCATATTCAACAATGGTCATATTCGAATATGACTACAGTCATATTCGAACATAAATATGACTATAGTCATATTCGAATATGACTGTAGTCATGTTACTGGTGCTATTCAGATCTGAAACTGTGTTTTTAGATTTGGAGAAAAAAAAAGAGAAATCGAAAAATACATAAATAAAGATAGAAATTAACGAAAGAGAGGGAGGGGGGAGTCAACGCCAACAGCGGTGGTGAACAAAAGTGAGAGTGGGAGATGGGGCGACGGTGGTGGTGGTGGACAGATCTGGAAAAAAAACAATAGAGAAAGATAACGAAAAAGGGAGAAAGAGCCTGACGTGGAAACGAAGGAGGCGGCGGCGGCTACGAGCGGCGACGGTTGCATTGGGGTACAAATCTATGTGGAGACGATGGTGGTGTAAAGAGAGAGAAACCGAGAGAGACAACAAACACGAGAGAAATAGGTTATTTATATAGAGATAAAGGAGGAAACGACGGCAACGAGCGGCAGTGACGGTGGAGGAAGCTTGAAATTTTCGGAGATAGTTGAAGGATTTAGGTGGAAAGGTGGAGAAGATAGAAGATGAAAGTGATAGAGGTGGGCAAATAATTAGAGTTATAGTAGTTGATGGTATTTTTGTCTTCTCACACTAGTGAAGGGGGTCTCACTAATAATGTGGTGTTTGCGAAAGCTTTTAAAAATAGATTATGATTTTTTCCCCCCACATAATATGTTTTTAGGTGTTTGCAAAATAAATTTTTGCTTTTGCTTCTTTTAAAATAAGCTGTTTTAAGCTATAATTTTAAAAACACCCATGTACCTGTTTTTTCTATTTAAATTGATTTTCTAGATTTTTTGCAGACACCCCCAACTTTTAGAATTAAACATTTTATATCAACTAAACTCACAATCACTAACTTATGATTTTAAATAAAATTTTGCAAACACCATCTAAAAATAAAATTTGGGTGTAAGCAAAAAACTTTAAAAGTCAATTGAGTTTAGTTCAAAATATTTCGCCTTTGAGGGGGTATTGCATATTTTCCCTTATTTTTAACTAGTGATTGTTTAGTTTTCATCAATCCTGATTTACCTTTGTACACTATGTTTTCAGGTTTTGCTATATTTCATATTATTTTTCTTGGTTAGTTTTATTACGTTCCATTTTCTATGTTGTTCCTGTAATTAATTCATTATCTTATTTATCTGCCCATAAATCACAAGCACAACTTAGTAGCTGATTTTTGGTAGGCATAGATACCTGAAGATTTTTTACAATTAATATCCATACATGCTTTCCAATAAATTTTTAAAAATAAAGTGCCGTTGTATGTTTTCAAATACCAAGTATATTTTATATTTTACTTAGTCATACATTTAAAGATTTTCACATGCTATATTGTTATATTACCTAATTAAAACCTAGTTTGTTATGTAGTTGTTGATCAATGACAATAAAAGAAGATTGTGTGCATATTTGTACTCTGTAGCATTATTCTTAAATATATTCTCTCCATTAATTTTACATGTCGTTTAGTATAGGCAAAAAAATTGAGAAACTCATTAAATTAGCTAATTTTTTTTTTAAAATTTAGACATGAAAACTCCAAATTAATTATCCTTTGTACAATATAATCTCAATAGTAGTATTTCTCTCTTTCATGTCAACCGTAGCCCATTCTTCTCCCTTCATAATTACTGATATAATGGGGGTAAAAGTGTTAATATTTTGGTATGTAGATACATTTTTTTTCTTCAAAATAAGATACAACATGGCGCATGGTAAATTATTTATTATGATATATTCTATTTTCTTGTTAGAAAAATAAAACATAGACTATCATAACTATCGTAATAAAATATTTATGACTCATGAATTCATGTAGCCACGCCAAAAGTTCAAAATGGAACATTAAATAAATGATATAAAGAGACAATAGCTAAAAATAATTAACTTATGAGAAAAGCACATCAAAAACTTGATAATATAATTTATTTTTCAGTTAAAAATAATCTTAAAGAAATGAAGAAATATTCATCTTCTAAGACGAAGGGAGGTGCAAACAAGAAAACAAGTACGTCATTTTGGGGACGTTTAACATTGTTGTTTTTATGGAAAAGAGGTCAAAAAGGGCTTAGAAGACTCGGAGATAATAATAAAAAATCGACCAGTTCTTATAAATACAGTCCAAAGAGTTATTCACAAAACTTCGATGGAGATCACCAATTCGAAAAATGACAATCAATGTGATCATATATATATATATATATATATATATATATATATATATATATATATATAACAATTAAGTGATTTATGTTTTATAATGATACTATTCTTATTGTGCAAAAGAATATATTTTTCCTTGGGAACAAGAAATAAAGAAAATATATTATCTAGTTATTGTTTGGAGTTGTTTATGGTGAGATCCCAACAACAAATCTCATATGAGATATGCCTCTCAAATCGCGCCACGTGTTCCAACAATACAATTAGTTTTTTAATCATTTGTGTATTGTTTAAAACACCCATACTACAAATATTTAATATTTAAAAATATAAATAATAAATTTTATGAGAAATGTTTATTGTACCCCTTGTATTTTTATGAATTATAAATCTATTTAATGCTGAATCTGCAAAGTCAATTATACCATTATTCATAAAAAAATTAAACCACCCGTCGAAAAATGCATCATATAAATCTATTTTTAGGCATACAACAATACTTACTATTAAGACGGAACAAATTATTAAAAATTCCCTAACAATAAGCATATATATCACAATGCTACAACGTATAATGATTATAAAACTTCTGTAAATAATGTTAAATAAATTACTAATTCTCGTATAATATTCATTATATACTGTAAAAAATATCCAATATTAACAAATTTATGTATAATAAATTTTGAAAATCTAAGGAAATGCATATCAACTTGTGTAATTTAAAAATGAAAATAAAAGAATTTGAAGTTTGAATTGAATCGTAAATCGTAAGATTTGAATCAATTAAACTCACGTGTTTTCAATTCGAAAACAATATTCAAAGATTTGAAACGATTAAGCTCATGTCATTTCAATTCATAAACACTATTCAAATATTTGAATCGGTTAAACTCAACTATTTACAATAACATTTAGTATAATCGATTAAACTCAACAATTTACAATAATCGGTTAAAGTTTAGTATTTTTTTTATTGAATTTTATCATAAAAATAATAAAATTTAATTTGTAAAAATCGTAAGATTTAATCGATTCAAATATTGTGGTTAGATTAAATCTTACGATTTACGATTTGATTCTTACAAATTTTACGAACTAAATTTAATTTTATTTTTTGTTAAAATTGAATTAAAAGGATATTAGACTTTAATTAGAAATAATTAACTCGATTAATACGTTCTTGTCAATGGTTGAACTTAATCGATTCAAATCTTTGAAAAATATTTACAAATTGAACGAACTTGAGCTTAATCGATTCAAATCTTACGATTTGATTTTTATGTATGTTAGGAATTAAATTAATTGTTTTAATGATAAAATTGAATTAAAAAATATTAGACTTTAATTATAAATTGTTACTTCAATTAATAAGTTCTTGTCAATTATTAAGCTTAATTGATTCAAATCTTTGATTAACGTTTACTAAACGAAAGGATTGCTTAATTGATTCAAATCTTTAATTAACGTTTACTAACTGAAAGGATTTGAGCTTAATCAATTCAATCTTACTATTTCATTAAACTAAATATTAAAAGAAAAATCATAATACAATATCTTGAGTATATTATTTTATTTTAAAGGAAGAAAACTAATTGGAATTTTCTAAATAAACATCTTATTTTATTTTTTATTCGGATTTGTAACACTATCTATTTAATAACCTAAGTGAGCTTGTACGAAGTCATGTATTTATTTATATTTAATTGAGTATTCTATATATTTTTCAACAGTGGAGTTTATTAATGTTATATAATTAATAATAGATGTTTGGGATATTAAACCGTAGTTCTTTATATTTTGAAACTTTATTATATTAAATTTGTTAATAATTTATTTGACATTATTTAATAATAACGAATGTCGCATTTAATATTCTATTTAACAAATTACCCCCAACTCCTTCAAACCCCATGATACGAACCCCATAGAACTCGTTACGAGACCCTAATACCCTACGCGGAAGCAAGATCGAAAACATCCAAAAACAAAGATTCAAAGGGTGGAACCGCGACCCGTTGCCTATAAAGAGGCAAGAACCTTGGTATGTGAAGACGCCACAATCGATTGTGAAAGATCGATTGGTAAGTCAAGGTGAACAAACGGAATCCACCGATATGTTCGAAAAGTTCTTAAAGAACCAAAGAGAATATTCTCAATTAAATCATCAAAATTCGTCCTATAAAATAAGCCAAATTGGCAACCTATTTATAAGGTCTAAAAAGACTCCTTTTTCACAAGGAAAAGGACTCCTACCTAAACTATAATAAGGTAACTTGTAAATAAGCAAATCCTAACAATAAAAGACTCTAAAATAATAAAAACATAATAAATAGTAAATTAAAAACGTGCATAAATAAATTAGATAACTTGATCTTCAAGTCGACTTTCGATCACCCTTCTTAACTCGCGACATTGGGCTGTGCACGTGCATGCAATTAAAGCTCAATTTCGACACTGTTCCATTTCGAATATCACTTCGCTCAAAACACGAAAGATGCAGATCTCTCAGTTAGCTTTCCGAATCATTTTGAATCAGCTCAAATGGACTTCAGATGCGAGAGTTATAACTCGAATGGTAAACTCTGCCAGAATAGGCGAGAATCTCGGATGCATGGAATTCGACTTGTCCAACGACTTCTTCTCTTTCTTTTCTTCCAATTCCAAACCACAGACTCTTCAAAGGTCTGATTAAAGCCTTTATTCTTCAATCCCAACACGAACGGCTCCATTAATCTCACTCGCTTTCCCTTCTTCCAATTCTTTGTCTTGGAGCTTGTGCGGATCGTATCATTCTCCCCCTCTTTAAAAGGATTCGTCCTCGAATCCGGACAAATATCAGAAGGAGTACAAACAAAATCGATTTCATAATCGATTTCTCCCTCTTAAAAGGATTCGTCCTCGAATCCGGA